GCAAGTACTGTACATACTACAAGTACTGTAAACTATATAGTACTGCAAGTTCCACATAAACTGCTGCAAATACTGTATGTATTGCTAGAAGTTCTGTATAAAGTGCAGATCCTGTATTTGACGGGCAGAACTGCTCCACTGCAGGTACTTCATGCGCCACACACAGTACTGTCTGTGCTACTTTATGAAGTCCTGCAGGTACTTGGTGTACTCAAGTATACTTTATGCTGTTGCAGGTATTTCATCTGCAGTGTACTAATACAAGTACTGTGTATGTACCACTTCAATACTTTGAACTACTGCACGTACTGTATGTACTACTCCAGGTACTTCACACTGCTGCTGTGGATACCTTGTTTTTAGGTTTGTCCCTCTCAGGTAACCATGGCGATGTGTTGACGTTTGCAGTAACCATGGCGATGTGTTGACGTTTGCAGTAACCATGGCGATGTGTTGACGTTTGCAGGTTCGTTCCCTCCCAGGCCGACGTGGCGGTCTTTGATGCGATCTCGGCCCCGCCCCCTGCTGACCTGTGCCACGCCCTCCGCTGGTACAACCACATTAAGTCCTACCAGAGCCAGAAGAACAGGTGAGGACGATGATGTCACGGATCAGGAGGGTGGAGCAGGTGCGACATCAGCGAGGTTAACCCCGCCCCCTGTCTGCTGTCAGTCTTCCAGGTGTGAAGAAGCCTCTGGGTCAGTACGGCCCTGCAGGTGTGGCCGACACCACCTCAGGCTCCGCCCCTGCGGCAAAGGATGACGATGACGACGACGACATCGACCTGTTCGGCTCTGACGACGAGGTGAGGTCACAGTGATGTCACGATGAGGTCAGCGTGTTGTGTGCGTCCGTCTGACCCTGATCTCTGTCTGGCAGGAAGACGCCGAGGCAGCCAGGCTGAAGGAGGAGCGTCTGGCCGAGTACGCCGCCAAGAAGGCCAAGAGTACGTCATCGCCCAGCCAATCGCGTCGCTCGCTCAGAGTATTGCGCTGATTGATTACTGGGCTCCTTATGATGATTGACCAATCACCATCTTTCGGCTGACGCCTGATGGACACTTTATTTTTACCTGATGAGTCTCCAATCACAACGCTTGTGTTTGCTCTGTGTGGTTTCCATGGCAACTGACTCCTCCCCCTCCCCTCGCAGAGCCCACCCTCATCGCCAAATCTTCGATCCTGTTGGACGTGAAGCCGTGGGACGACGAGACGGACATGGCCAAGCTGGAGGAGTGTGTTCGCAGCATTCAGATGGACGGGCTGGTCTGGGGACAGTGTGAGTGTCTAGTGCTGATC